GTTTATTTTTCATGATGATCTTACAACTATACTAATAAATAGTTATAAATATCTATAACAGTAACACCATAAATTTTATTTATTGAACAAACCCTAGAAAGTAAATTCTGCATGCTTGATGATATGCACACAAAACTTAATTTTACTATCTATAAAATTATACTTATGATTGTTTTACTTGAATTGTAATCATGTTTAGAGTATTTAGTTATAAATATCCACTTGCAGATGTATTTCTATAGACATGTGTAATGCCAATAAAATACATCTATGATATACCAACAAAATAAATGTTATACTATAGTATACTTTGGGACACTATAAATTAAAAGTGTAATTTAAACATAACTTAGTTTACCTTGTATTAAATAATTGCCTCAGAGCGAAATGGCCTATTATTATGATTCTTTCATGTTTGTGGAAACGCTTGGTCAAAATTAACACATGACCACACTTTGTGGTTTAGACATTAAAATGACTGAGCGTTGGTTTTATTACTATGACGTTACTGTGGCAATTTTACTACGGCCTTCATTTATAATCCTTTTAACAATGCAACCTTTGTTGTCAGTGTGATGTGTTACCATTTTTGTGGTTTGGACCGTTCCTTTTCAAACCATAAAAATATAAAAAATATAAAAAAATGTCTTTTTTTATTATAGTATATACATTTTGTTTATGTTTTGTTATGCTATAGTTTTATATTTTACATTTATTAATGTTTTATCCCTCATTGGAAATCTTGTCATTTCTTTCACCATAACAGGAGCATATTTTTGAAGATATTCCAGCAACTTCAATAATCATTTTTGATATTTATACATAATTTTAAAACAAACAAATAGTTAGTCTCTTATGATAAAAAGTATAAAAAAACGTTAGTCATTGGTTCTTGGATCGAGACATTAGTTAGGCTAGTAAATATTTACGACAGCTGCTACCTGATGTTTTAGCGGGATTGTTTTAAAACAAGAAAACATTAACACCACAATTTTCTTTTATTATAAAGCTATTTATTTATGCCTACACTAATAAAGGATTTGTGGAAGAAAACATATTCTGTGAATTTAGTTAATATTATAAAATTATTATTATTTTATTATTAGGTACTTGATTTGTTTTCATTGTTATAGTGATTGTAATCATTTATAAATAAATACCGTACAACAAATAAAAACATTTTTCAAGTTTTTACATAAATTGAAATATCTATGTTTTAAGCTCTATCAAGGTCCATCAAAATATGTTGCATCAAATCTTATTAAAGAAAAGGTTGGTTAAAATGAAGGATGAGAAATTAAATAATTAAAGTCAAAGAAAATACGGCTCATAAAAATATATGGAGTAACTTAGGTTATAAATACAGATATTTTAAATTAGCATTCAAAACATATGAAAGTTTCCAGTAAATATAAAACAAGGCTTTTTGAATATATCCGATATGCTTTATCGTAAAATATTGTTATTGTATAACACGTCTTGTAAAAATAGAGAAACGAGTGTAGAGATTAAATGTTTAACTCAGCCTAGGCAAGATGAGATGTTAGTTGATGACTGGATGAGGAGTTCAAGATACGTGATAACACTTACAATCACAAGATGAGTTATTGTAGCAACAATGCTTACTCGACGATGATATGAAGAGTAGCATACAATATAGCGTTAGTCAGATGGTTTAAATATTAGACTAAAATAATTTTAGGCTGTACAATAAATATCTAGCTTGAGTAAAAATGCCTTCGTAGCAGGATACTTTCAAAATAGGTTTTTTGCGAGAGCTATTCAATTATTTTCTACATAGGTTCATATTAAAATAAATATTAGCGATGTTTAGAGATAAGTAAAATCAATTTCTGATTAGCATTTTACTGATAGTTACATGGACGTATTTGGTTTACAACATAATTAAGGTGAATGAACCTCCATCTATGAATATATGTGATGGAAGATAATGGAGGTTAACTTTTAGATATTACAGAAATTAATATACATCATACATTATACATTATAAATTTGTTCTCCATGTTTCGTAATAGAATGCTATATGAATACTTAAGATGTGGTAATTTTAAGAATATTTCAATATTTATTAATTTTGTAGTTTGACTTAATACATTTAAAATAAATGAAATATTATATGTATTGATAAACTTTGCTTAGTATGTTACTTTTTCCCAAATTGAATATATAAGTTAAAATTAAATAAAGTAATAAAATAAACAAAAACCTAACGTTTAATCAGAAAAATATATACTAGAGGTTTGTTATGTTCAAAATATACTATGAATTTCAACAATTCATTTGTTAACAATTACAAATGTTAGTAGTAGATAGGATTAAGAAAGTGAAATCTGACATCATTTACAAACTAATTCAAACCAAGCTGTAAATAAAAAAGCCATCTCATGGGTTACTTTCGTTTGAGATGAGTGTAATAAGCTTAACTAAATTAACAACCTCTCGCCTTTTCCCTGGAGAGAGGTTTCGACCAACAAATCCTACAGTTTTTATGAGTTTATGTGTTAATATATACTCAGCCTTTCTAGTCACTTTTTTATTATTTATGTTCGTTATTTATGTTATTTAACTCAATTTGATTCATTTTTAACGGAATAAAACAAATGTTTGTAGGAAAATAGTTTTGTGTATTGCAAGTTTACGACTAAAGAATTCAACCATAGATTCTTAAACAGTTTTATCATGTGATAAAGACATAGTCCAACTTTTACGCTAAAACCAAAGTTAATATTGGATACTAAAGATTGTCGTTGATTGGATAGGTCATTTTCATATTATCACTTGGCAGTCTATAAAAAGAAAATATTTAGAAAATTGATTTTTTTCTTAATCTGAAAGTCAAATTTAGTTTGGATAGGCGTACATTATGTTATTTAATGTACAGAACGAAATATAACACTAATCAGTTATGAAATTTAACATTTTAAATTTTATCCCTTTTCAGACACAATGTTTCAATAATTGTATTGAGACATCCCCAATAATGAGAATGCATTATAATACATAGGCTACTAATATATAATGGCTGACTGGCTGTGCGGCTCCGGCGTTAGAATAGACCGCAGTATCCCCTGCTCGTCGTAAGAGTCGACTAAAAGGGGGGGGGGAGCGCAACAATTCTTTTAGCGTCTCCTCTGCAAACCAACATTTCCCGCTTAAAATCAATAAACCAATTTTCTTTTTCTAAATCACCCTGGTCTATTGTTGTGTATGGCTCCGTGTCCTGCGGTCCCCCGATGCGTTGGACGTCCGTTCAGGTAGAGGGTACAGCTTAAAAACTGGGTCTTTCTTGCACATCCCAGGCTGCCGGATAGTACAGGGGCCCGGGTAAGCTTAGCCGGCAATGACCTGGCTGCCCTATCATCCGGCGAAAATCTCTTTGGCCGTAGTAGTGCCGGATGGCGACCGGATAGGGCCCTGCTGCGGTTTTGGGGGGGCTCTGCCGAGGCCACTGCCTTTTCTGGAGCGTTCTGGGTTTCGGGGGGCGAAGGACATGGAGTACAGCCGTGCATGAGGTGAACCAGGGTGACATTCTCACGAGGGCACAGCATAGGGGGGGGGGAAATGTGAAAATATGGCAGACAAGCAAAAAGAAAACGTTCCAATTGTGCAAGAAAACTTCGGGTTCCCTAACCCAAAAAAAGAGGCAGAAACGACACCTGAAGTGGATTTCGACCCGTTCAGGAGGAGCTCACGTTTGAGTCGCTCCCCTGTTCGCGCCCGTCCTTTCACTCCGAGTTCCGATCCATCGCCGCTCTCGGAAACTCTGCCAGAGCAGGGAAGTGAGAAAACGACCTCGCCATACGAGGCCGTTATCGCACTGGCCAGGCAGGAAGATGAGGACCTCCTGACAAAGTGTTTTGACACTCTCAGTCAGATGAAGTCAGCGACACGCAGACAGAGGAATGTGAACCAAGACTTTAAGACTGGGATTACCAAGCTGGAGTCCTATCTTAACCACATCCTTCATCTCCGCAAGTCTTGGAAGTCGTGTGAAAAGACCCTCGTCTCTTAGTCAACGCAGACCTCGCCACGACAACAGACGTCTCAGTCCTCAACTGCGGCCAGCTCTAAGCGAGCCGCCTCAAGCCCAGCTGAGCCTGTGACCGAGAAGAAAAAGAAGGTCGACGGAAACAAACCAGGAGAGTGGGTGACGGTTGCGAAACGGAAGGGCAAGCAGAAGAACCCTCCTCAGCAGTCTGTTGTCCAGCCTGGTGACGAAACGACAAAGAAGCCCAAGAAAAAGAGAGCCTCTAAACAACGCCCTGACGCTCTTCTAATCAAGCCGACAAGCGGAAAGACATACGCTGACGTGCTTGGTGAGATACGTCAAAAGGTGAAGCCCGAAGAGAAGGGAGCTGTTATCAAATCGCTCAGAAAAACTAGAGCTGGTGATCTCCTCGTAGAGCTTGGCCATTCCTCCGGGACGAAGGCAGAATTCGGGGCCGATTTGCAATCCATCCTTGGTGCAAACGCCTCGGTGCGAATTCTTGAGCCGACATTGGAAGTGAGGGATCTTGACGAACTCACGACTGAGGAAGAGGTCTCCACTGCAGTTAAGTCTGTTCTCGGGGAACCCAGTGAGATGAAGATCTTTGTCTCAAAGGCCAACTCTCAAAGGGCAGAAGATGGCGATATTGACGTTGGGAGCTAGAGATGGGAGAAAACTCCTAGCTGAAGGGCTCATAAAGGTCGGATGGGTGAGATGCCGGGTCCGCGAGAAGCTCGTAGCCCCAAGGTGTTATAAATGCCTGGGGTTTAACCACATAGCTAATCGCTGCAAAGGTCCCGACAGAAGCAATATGTGCTACAAGTGCGGCGGCCAAAATCACAGGTAGGGCCAATGTATGCAGTTCCGCTGAATCTTGCGTCCTGTGCACAGAGGCCGGCTTGAAGAACGATGCCATTAAGCACGCTGCGGGATCAAGCCGTTGTGCTGCTTATAAGCAAGCACTGCACAAGATCCGCCAATCCACCCAGAAATGATAAGTGCCCTTCAGCTTAACATGCAAAGGAGCAGGACAGCTGACGGTCTGCTGTACCAATTCGCAACCGAGCAAGGCGCCGATATTTTGCTGCTGAGTGAGCAATATCAGAACCGACGCTCTCCTCAGTGGTTTCCTGATGTTTCTGGGACGGCGGCCATCTGGGTCCTTGACCCCGGGAAGGTACCTATCTTAGATTCCGGTGAGGGAAACGGTTTCGTGTGGCTGCGAAGCAGAGGTTTAACTTTCTTCTCCTGCTACCTTACACCTAACCAGCCCATAGCAGAGTACCGCCAGATGGTCGACTCTCTAGAGGACGGGATCCTGAACGTCGATGGTGGGGTGATTGTTTGCGGAGATTTCAACGCTAGGGCGGTGGAATGGGGTTCACCCCAAACAAACACAAGGGGACGATATGTTTTAGAGATGGCAGCCAGGCTGGGTCTTCATGTTCTGAACGTGGGCAATGTCTCCACTTTCCGTCGCCCTGGATATGGAGAGACCATCCCTGACATCTCACTGGCATCTGAAGGCCTAGCCAATCGGATTTCTGACTGGCGTGTCTCCGAGGACTACTCTGCAAGTGATCACCAGGCAATTGTCTTCGGGGTGCTTCCCGAGCGTAGGCATCCATATGCCAACTCGGCCAACCCGCCTCGACGTTGGAACCTCGGTCGTCTTTGCCGAGACACCTTTCGGGGATGTATCGGGGATCAAACTGTCGGGGACATCGGAAGTGCCGAATTTCGTGCCACGTCGACAATGCGACTCATTTCATTGGCGTGCGACTGTTCCATGCCCAGGATTTCTGCCCGTCGTGGGAAGAAGGCAGTTTACTGGTTGACACCCGAGATTGCGGAACTCCGGCGAAGATGCCTTAGCCTCCGACGAGCAGCGCAGCGTGCCAGAAACCGGCCTGAAGCCAATGCCAGATCGGCAGAGCACAAGGCTGCCAGGCGAGATCTTCGTGGTGCAATCAACCGGAGTAAGGTCGGGTGCTGGAAGCAACTGTGTCAGGACGTCGACAACAACCCCTGGGGGACGGGTTACAAGATAGTAACCTAAAAGCTAGGGACTCGTTCACCACCTGTGGACATGGATCCTGCTGCCATGGCTGCTGTCGTTGACTCGTTGTTTCGAAATACCCAGTGCGACCAACTAGAGAATTTAGGAATCTTGGCACGTTCCCACCCTTTCGGGAAGAGGAACTTACCTCCGCTGTCCGATCCCTCAGGAATCGAAGAGCACCCGGTCCTCATGGCATTCCTGCGGAAATCCTCAAGCTCGTCGTTGAGTACAATCCAAAGCTTATGTTGGATATGTTCAACTCCTGTTTGGCGGACGGCGTTTTCCCGACGGCGTGGAAGGTGGCACGCCTTGTCCTGATCCCCAAGGCGAAGAGTGCACCGGGAACCCCCTCCTCTTACCGCCCACTGTGTATGCTTGACACTGTTGGCAAAGTGATGGAGAAGTTAATTCGTGTCAGACTGACCGAGGCTATCGTCTCTGCTGGTGATTTTTCCCCGCAGCAGCATGGTTTTCGTTCTGGTCACTCGACCATTGACGCCATCCAAAAGGTAGTTGGGGCAGTGCGGAGTGCGGAGAACCACAGTCATTGGTCGCGCCGCTTAGTTCTCTTCGTCACTCTTGACGTGAAGAATGCGTTCCGCCAGGTGGAGTGACATGCTACAGGCGCTCGAGCACACATTCCGCGTCCCTCCTTACATACATCGTTGGAGCTATGATACAGGGGGGAAAAAACTGGAACTGTGTAAAGCAGTTCGTCGAAGCCATACTTCGGGATAAGAAAGTCGACCTCGATCGGCCTTAGTTTTCTGAGGAAACCAGAAGGAAAGCCCTAGGGGCGTAGTATAAAAGGCCTAGCCCGAAGTAATGTGCGAAACAGTTCCAGGCTAGTGTCCTAGGAGACGAGGGGGTTTTTTAGCCGGTAGTCCGGGGACAATGAGCCCGCGGGAGTCCGGCACTACTGAGTGGCCATTGAGCACCTCAGTGTGCGTAAATGCATTTGTACCTCCTCCCCATAAAAAAAAAATATATATATATATATAATGGCTGACTCAAAATATAAATAAGTAGTGCCACGAATGCAGTATAAGATCTAACAAAAATTCAATTTTGTAAATATTGTAATATAGTATCTATATTGATAAAATATCACAAAGACCCTCTACTCCTCGTTAAAGTATATAATGGACCATTTATTTTGGTAGTTTGTAAACTCAAAAAAAAACTCAACATACTCCCTTTACAGTCGTTAAGAGAGTCCATAAAAGCAATATTCTGCTCATAAATAACAACATTTTATTGGATCATACAAGAGTAGCCGAATTGTTTTGTAACATGGTTTGCTATTCTATTATGGTAGTTTATGCAACGCTCGCTACGTTTTACATTAACGTGTACTATTTACACAAGTTGCGTACACTACTTTAACTATGACCGTTTGTAATTACTAACAATCGCTACACATAGATTCTAAGAGAGGTAACAGCATTGTTAAGTAAACCAATGTTTTTTAAGTAAGTAAACAATACTGATAAGTGAATATTATCAATTAATTCTGACAATTGAACTGAAAGGCTAGTTTAGTTTAGACAACTGTTGTAGGTAAAACTAAGTTTATGATTCATAGTAATTGCCCAGTAATAGCTACACAGCACAGTTAATAATTTGGTAACTGTTAAACCAGATGTATACTAGGCAATTATACAAAATTAATTATCCATACTATTATATAACAAATATAATGGTGTCTGTATGTTTGTTACTAATAGGGCCAGGCGCATAAACTACTGAACTGACTGGGCTTAAATTATAGGAAAATATAGCTACCATACCAAGCACCTTTATAGGACTATTCACACTTCAATACTGACCGTGAGCTTTGCTCCTTTGGCTTTAAAAGTTCTGAGGCGAGGATTTTAAAAGTAAATATTGATTGGGCTCCATGGCTGACATGAGAACATACAATGTTTGCAATTTGCTATGCCACCCAAATGTAAACAAGCTGAACCGTCAAACCACATTAATTCACAATTCTACAGGTGGTTTATAAATATAATATTGTCTACAATAATGTCACATGTTTATTTATTCTTATATTTGGTGGTTCATTGATTATTGCTTTTATGAAATAATTAAGATTGTATATCTGTTGCTGTATCTAACCCTAGTTAATTATAAAAATTTTCGCTAATGTAAGTCATTGTATAGAAAGATTTTGATGTAAAAAGTAGTGAAATTACAAAGTTCACATTTACTTGAATCTTTTTAACATTTTTGGACGACTAACATGTGTTTAGAGTAGGGCACACACCTTAAAAATTTTAACTTTTTTCTCAAGGAGATAATGAATTGTATATTTTTGCCATTTTTAGAGAAATATTCTTCACACCATTTGCCTTTTTAAAAAATTTTTAATCATAATTTCATATTACTACCCGTAGATTAGTTATAATTTTTTTAGTCCAGAGGTACCTACTACCTATCTATATTATAACTTTTGACACTTCCTGTAGATTTCACATTCTATTCTAATAATGAATAACTTTTTACGAGCGTTTCATGGTCATTACATGTATATTTTCAACCAAGTTCCTCTTAACTTAACCTACCCTCGACATAAACATTGTTTGAATGACGTTAAATTTCCTAATTCTAAGCTGATATAAAAATATTTCAATTAAAAAAAAAACTATAAAAAAATAAGTTGTTTATACACTTGCCTTTGGTGCATGAATAGTAGGAGCTATAAATAGTAGGGCTAAATATATTTCCGTTTGTTTAAGTAGTTAGAGTGTTAATGTTTTTGTTTGCTCACATAGTATATAATGAGATATTTTTATATTCAATGCTAAGTGAGCAATGCTTTTTGAAGCAAGATCACATTTTTCTTTTCAGTCAACCCGTAATATTAACCAGATGTTGTAAATTATAATTTGCCTATGTATGATTTTATAATTATAAAGTAAGTAAAAGCTTTGAATTTTTTTATTTGTTTTATTGTTTGAAAATGTTTCTTTTTATATTGAATTGTGGAATTGAATCTTATTTAACACTGTTTTTAATTTCAGATTTCAAAAAGCACTTTTTAAACATACATCAACCCCGGACGAAGGACAGGTACTCTGCTAGTTACACATACACGCAAAACTACAGTATCAATTCATGCTATGTAAGATAGGTACCCAATTTAATTACGTAATAATATGAATCAATGTTTAGTGCTACGTTATGAGTTCCATTTTCAAATAAACCCATTGTAATCTTACAAAAATTATAAATGTGAAAGATTGTGTATTTGTTTGTTTGTTTGTTTGTATGTTTGTTTGTTTGTATGTTTGTTTGTTTGTTCGAAGTTCAATCACACATTAATTACTTGTCAGATTGAACTGAAACGTTATATCATGATAGCTTACGTTCCCGATTAACATATATACTTACTGTTATCTCAAAGATCCTTTTGGGCTTCGCCCTAGTGGCTATGCAGATTCCCATGTTAACAATTTAAAATGAATTAAAGCAGTTTGCCAGCTGTTTTAACTACACAACTTCGTTCTATGATATTCGATATCATTAAAAGGTTGTAAGGTTTTCCAACAGGGTGCAGCACTATTAATTTTTAATTTCTCCCCCTATACATAGTATATGGAGAAAGTATATATGGAGAAGTTTTTGTTTTCGTAACAAATTTTGAGCTTTGAGTGGATATGTGAGGCGGAAATGAAACTGGGACCTCTTCGCGGCAATTTACGATTTTGAGTTACTGTTATTTTAGAATTCCTCATTTAAATCCTATTAATTTGGTGCAAGTCCCATGAGTCTAAGATTTTTTTTTTGTGCTAAAGTTATAGATATTTCAAATTCCATGAAAGAAAGGGCCTATTTCTTAAAAAAAATCTATTTGAAAATTTCCAATCAGCATAAAACGTATATTTTTCATATTTAAGCAACGACTTTGGTTTTAAAAGAAATCCCTAAATGTCTCTTGTGATGGGAATACCCATTTGTGTCTTAACTAACAGTAACTTTTAAGAAAATCATGTTTTTATTGAAGCATGTCGTAAAAAGTTATATTTCAGAAAAGGGACCTCTTCACGGCCCTATGTTATTTCTCCATAATAAATCCCAAAACTACAGAAAGCGACCTCTTGGCGGCATTTTCCAGTTTTTAATAAAACAGTTTTTTAAATCATATTTAAAAAAGAAACATTTTTTAAGTAAAAAAAAATATTTCTATGTTTACACTGAGCGCTTGCGGCGCTTCTTTGACGGTCCTTGACACGCCGTCGAAGTCCCCGGAACAGGTTCATCAGGATCTTCAGGCTGGACAGATGGGTCTTGATGAGGGCACAAAACATCTTTGAACTCGTCTTTGCAATATTCCCTAATGTTTTTGTACAGATACCCCTTCCTCTTTGGAGTCATTCTTTGTGGAACTATTTGTTTGGGGAAACCGCTAGGTCCATTCTCGGTGTCGAATACCTGATGAACATACACGTTGTCTTCAAGATCAGTTTTGCAGTGCACTTTTCCTTTTAACTCTGTAATGAACTCAACATGGTTATACCGTGTAATGAGTGGTACTTTTTGGCACCATAAGTCTGGAAAAACATTAGCCAATCATGGATTTTGATTAGTACTTCACCTTGTTTATTAGCCACCATATCTGCAGTATTTACTTTAGAAGTTGGGGTTAAGTCATTGATGCAGTCAACTAACTCTGATAACATCGATACATACGTAACTCTGAACTTCTTTTTTAGAAGGCCGAAGGCCCAGTCACAGGTAAATTTTGTGTGGCCTACTGGCATGAACGACAAAATTATTTTTTGTTTCTATCTTGACAAACCCTCCATGATTAAATTGATCAAAATTTATGGTATTGATTAAATTTGGTATATAGGTCCTAATCTTTAGTATCTCCAAGGTTTTTCATTTTTTAACGTTTATTTTAATGGCGATTTCCCCATAAAACCCATAAAATAACGGAAAAATCAGATTTTCTCAAAAATGGCCTGAATGATTTTGAAAAAAAAATAGTA